ATTTTTCATTACTTTTTAAAAAGGTGTATGAAAATATTAGTTTGTTTATTGATTTTAATTTGTTAACTAATAAACATCAACTATTTCATCAGTTATTAATTAATGGTTACTGTCATTAGCTATTTTATCAATTAAATTAAACAAAATCAATATTTTTAAAGACAATATTTTACCATTTTTGATGTCTTAAGATTCTGGGTGGTGGCCATAACAGTGCCTTTCAAGGTGCAGACATTCACCCAATCACGGAGAAGAGAGGGGAAGTTGTTCTCCAACTCTCACATTTCCATTAACGTCTCTGCCATTTATAGCAAAAGCTTTCAACATAAAAATAGTATTCTCTACCTGCTTTCCATGCTTTATGACATGTTTTCTACAAAATCTAATCTAAAATTTAAATCAAAGATTGTGATACACTAACAGACACAAAAGTACATTGAAAAACTATCACATTGATGCACTTTTGTTGACCAATTGCAGCCTCCATTTACATTTCATTTGCATTCATATTTACATTTCATTTGCATTTTATTTCATTTTCTTCTATAATGCAGCTTTGTTTGCTGCACTTTTCTTCCCATTAATGCAGCTTTGTTGCTGCACCTTTTTTCTCCATCAAGCAGCTTTTTTGTTGCCGAACCATTTTGTGCCATAAATGCAGCTTGCTTGCTGCCCTTTTTTATTTTTTTTATTTTTTGAACAAGAGAAAATTATGAGGAATGAAGAAATTTTTAACCAATTAAACCTAAATACTTAGGTTTGGAGACCAACTATTAGACCCAAAATTCCGGTTCGCTTGCTACCACATTTTGCTATCTTGTTGCACCCAAAAACGTATGAACTGGGGTAGAGCTTTCGAGGATTCAACTCCTTGGTATTTGTCTACATGGGTTTCCGTTCTTTACTAGGTGTTTTGTAGAAGTCAAAAATTAGTGCAAGGGAGAAGAAGGACGAAAATATAAGGTTCTTTGGAGTTGCCACTCTTTTCAAAATGGTTTTTAATAACATAATTTTAATGATAATAAAATATTAAAAAGCTACAGGCACAACTCTTCACAAGATAAACACCTATAGAAGACTATCCTTCCTTAGCTCCTATACTTGTCTCATAATTCAGTTTCTCCATCAATGGCAGAAGCAACAAAGAGGTTTTTTTTTTCTTTTTCTTTTTTTTTTCCTTCAATCATGTTTTCTCTTCATGTCTGATGTCTGGTGTTCCAATTTTCTAATTCTTCTTTTCTTTCCCTTCATATTAAGGTATGCATTTGTTACTGGGGCAAACAAAGGTATTGGTTTGGCAATATGCAAGCAGTTGGCTTCACAAGGGGTGACTATAGTTCTGACTTCTAGAGATGAGAAAAGGGCTAAGCTGATGTCTTTTTCTTTTTCTATAGCTTGCGTATCACTCCAGAATCTCAACCATACGAAAGCGCATTTAAAATGTACAATGTGTGGTAGAAGCTATAGCTGAAGCTTGAAGCTTTTCCTCCTATTTCAGAATGAGTTCAGAACTAGACCCTTCGGAAACATCTGCTTGCATTAGTAGTTTAACATCCTCTAAATTCTCATATTTTTTTATAATACATTTGAATATTTATATCCAGACAGAGTACAACTTTATTCATTATAGTCATCACTTAGGCCTTAAAAAATGTCAGCCACTGTAGTTAATTATACAAATGTATTCAAAAGATTAACTAACTTCGCAATTTGTCAACGGTCTACCGTTTTAATTGGACTAGTTTTGGCTTTTCAAGCAACTTATTGATTAGCTGTTTTTGCCAAAAAAAACGTGTCATTTGGATCTCCTAACCATGTTACTGGGAATAAAAAATGTTCAATCATTGTACTTAATCGTTGTCCTCTTTGTTGCTGTCTTTATATTTTTCCTGCGTTTCTTTCCTTCCTTACATATCATTTCTCTACCTTCAAAGTTTCAGATTTATTAGATCCATCTTCTCTCAAAATAGATGGAAGATATATCCACCTTTCTTGCGAAAAACAGGTACTTGTTTCCTTGGGAATTTCTTGTCTTTACATTCTCAATCTTTCTTTTACCTTACATCTTTCTTTCTATCATCTCTCAGGTATGCGGTGGTTACCGGGGCAAACAAGGGGATTGGACTGGGAATATGCAAGCAGTTAGCTTCCAAAGGAGTGACTGTTGTTTTGACTGCTAGAGATGAGAAAAGGGGCATTGAAGCTGTAGAAAAGCTCAGAGAATCTGGTCTCTCTGACTTTATCCTTTTTCATCAACTTGATGTTGCAGATCCTGCTAGTATTGCTTCTCTGGCAGATTTCATCAAATCCCAGTTTGGAAAGCTTGATATCTTGGTATATTTGGGTTCCAGTCTCTCAACCTTACCAGTTTATATTTATTCAGTATTGTTTTCCTGTGAACATGATCTTTTGTTTGGTTGCTTGAATTACATATAAACAAACGTGGATTTTCTGCTCTGTATTTGGTCAGGTAGTTAGGAATAGCCATTTATTTTGCATATACAGAATCGTTGTATGTAATCCATGCTGAAGGATTTTGAAATCATCAACCACGTGTAGGTGAACAATGCAGGAATTCGTGGTGCCATAGCAGATGATGATGCCATAAAAGCTTCAGATTTTGGAAAGGTACGTCTTCTGTATATAATCCGTTTCCTAGTTTTGAGAATCTTAAAAGTTTAGTTTCTGCTTATCATCAAAACTCAGCCTGGTGCACAAGTCAACTGGACTCAGATGCTTACTCAAACACATGAGTTAGCTGAAGAGGGCCTCAAAACAAACTACTATGGTGCCAAAAGAATGTGTGAAGCACTAATTCCCCTCCTCCAGTTATCTGATTCTCCAAGAATTGTGAACGTTTCTTCCTCCGCAGGAAAGTTAGAGGTAAAGTTCAGAAGCAACTTAAATATTTCGGAATGTATTAAAGTAGGTTAAGCTTTGCTAAAATTGAAGTGGATATCTCAGTATGTATCAAATGAATGGGCGAAAGCAGTCTTAGGTGATGTTGGAAACCTTACTGAAGAGAGAGTGGATGAGGTATTGAGCCAATACCTGCAAGATTATAAAGAGGGTTCATTGGAAACCAAAGGCTGGCCTGCTTATTTGTCTGCCTATAAACTCTCAAAAGCTGCCATGAATGCGTACACAAGGATTCTGGCCAAGAAGTATCCGGGTATCTGCATCAATTGTGTCTGCCCTGGATATGTCAAAACTGACATAAACTATTATAGTGGAATCCTGAGTGTTGAAGAAGGTGCTGAAGGTCCTGTTAGATTGGCTTTGCTGCCCCATGGTAGCCCTTCCGGTTTCTTCTTCGAGCAACTGGAAGAAGAAGAATTCTGATGAGTTTGTGGGAGAAGTTTATGTTTTTCCTGTGTTTGTAGCTTTTTTTTTTTTTTTTTTTTTTTTTGAAGTGCATGGAAAAAGTACATTAATAGTATAATGTGATCCATCATCACTTATGATAATAGAGTTATTTATATTTTTAATTATAAATATAAAGTACAATTTTAATATCTACATAAAAAATAAAATAATATAATATTGATCCCAAAGACATGTATGTTTGGCAATGATTAGTATGTAATGATGATTAAGTTACTCTGTTTCTTTCTCTTTGGTTGCTTCAATGCGTCCCTCATGGCCCATCCAAATTTTATGGACATAGACGGTCCCTTTTTGTTCCTTTTCCTTTCTTTTTTTTTTAATAAAACCTTTTCCTTTGTTTTTACTTTATAGGAATATACCATTTTAGAATGTAAGGTACCTTCCAAATGCATCATTTTTCTTAATTATCCAAATATATAAAATAAAAATATTTAAATAAGAAAATATTTTAATATCAAAAAACTCATTCATCTTCTGAAAATTTGTATTTTACGTATAATCCAAAATACAAAATAATTTTTCCAATCACTAAATGACCTTCTAATTGAGTTCTTAGGGTTGGGGAGGGTTGGGTCCACGGAGAGAATCAGAGAACACTTGAGGAGGGCAGGAAGTAAATACTGTTCGAAATTTGGGAAAACGGGCCATTAGACCATGGAATGGACCTACAAGAAAGCCCACTGCAGAAAAACCGCACCGGAGACACAGACACTTGGAAGTCTCAAGGCGGTAGGTACACTTCCAACTCGGAAGCAACCGCTGGGAACAATCCCCAGGTTCATGCCGCCATTGCAAATCCTGTGTCTACCTCAGTACAGTGTAGGACAACTGTTTTTGTCTCAGCAGGGACAACTGTTTGTTTCTTTGAAATTCAGTTACTGTGAATTTTCCCTGACTGTGTTCCTTTGGTTAACTCCAATGGCCGTGAGCGTGAGGAAACCTGGTTTGATTGCATTGTTTGATGTGGATGGCACTCTTACGGCTCCCAGAAAGGTGGATACACCTTTTTGAGCCTTAAAACTAAAATTTTTATATATAATGGATTTGTTACCTGCAATTGTGGTTTGTTTCTCTAATATAATCTTCAATTCGTAGGTGGCTGCTCCTCAGATGTTGGAATTCATGCGTCAACTGCGCAAGGTACCGTCGGAGAATCAAGGGCTTTTCTTCTCAACTTCCTAAAGTGCCCACTTTTTTCTTCTTTTTTTTCTGTTTATTTGTGTTTGAGTGTTTTGTGCAATTGTAGGTTGTAACTGTCGGAGTTGTGGGTGGATCTGACCTTACTAAGATATCTGAGCAACTGGGAAAGACAGGTTTGCTTCATCTGCCTCTTCACTCTAGGCTTAAAAACCTTAAAATCTTCCAGATTTCTTTATCACATTGGTATTAAAAGTGAAACTTAGGAGGCATTTTTAGCACATATGATGATTATCAGTTAGCCATACCTAGCAGAATAGGGAAAACCTTAATAAGATTGTTGAGGCTAGAAATGAATTAAGATTCGCTATAATAGAGTGATCTACGCACTCATTCTTAATATCCTAAAAGAAATGGACGAAGGACATCCCCTTTTTTTTTCTTTTGATGGAATGAAGGATATCCATTTTGATCTGCCATCTTGAATGAATTATGGGCATATCTATCTTGACTATGATATTCTAGGAATTCTGAAAGAAATCGGTTCCATTGCTAAAGTTACATTATACTGTACTTCGACACCATAACTGCTGGCAAGCTCTTTATTTTGGTTCATGTCAAAATCTCATTTTAATTTGTGTGCCTGTGAATGAAAAGTGTCACTGAAGTTCATTCCTTTCTACTTTGTCTTTGAATGCAAATGGTCCACTCTAATAACATTGTTTTTCTTTTGTTGCTATGCAGTTATCGCTGATTATGATTATGTATTTTCTGAAAATGGTCTTGTGGCACATCAAGATGGGAAACTCATTGGCACACAGGTATATTGATAGCATACTTACAAAAACTTATCTGGTATTACTTATCTAGCATCAACAAATATCTTTTCATACTAGTCTGGTCAGACCAATGAGAATGGCTTTGATGTAGATAGTCTTTCATAGGATTTGATGATAAATTCATAGGTGTTCCTATTTTGCATGTGTTCTGCTTTTTTACCATTTTCCTCTAAAAAAAAAAAAAAAGTTGGATGGCTGACTCCTGCTTCCTTGATGGAATCTCCGTTTTCTTTGTCCAGAGCTTGAAGTCATTTCTTGAAGAGGAAAAGCTCAAGGTAAAGGTCCTTCCCTGTCACAAATAATTAGTCATGTTTGAATGATAGTCTAAAATCATATGGAATCCAATCTTTCTTTATAGATTGAAAATTATTATGCAGGAATTCATTAATTTTACGCTGCATTATATTGCCGACTTGGATATCCCCATAAAAAGGTAAGCTTGTTTGAAGCTTGAATATTAACTTTCAACCTAATCTGGTTCAACTCCACATGTTTCTTTATCAGGGAGTTGAATACTTCCTTATCTTACCAATTATTTCTCTAGGGGAACATTTATAGAATTTCGAAGTGGGATGCTCAATGAATGTATCTCCAATAGGTCGGAACTGTAGCCAGGAAGAAAGAGATGATTTTGAAAAATATGACAAAGTAAGGAACGCCAGTTTCTCTTATACAAAATATTCAATATGAACTCATTTTCTTAAAATATAGAATTTGGATGTTTATGCTGACATGTTATACACCTGTTGTTTCAGATTCACAACATACGACCGAAAATGGTTTCTGTTCTTCGTGAGAAGTTTGCTCACCTTAACCTTACATTTTCCATAGGAGGACAAATAAGCTTTGATGTAAGTGAAGAATCGTTGAACTTGTTATGTGTAAGTTGCAGAGGCTTCAAGGAATCTGAATCAATCTCGTCCTTGTAACAGGTTTTCCCCCAAGGTTGGGACAAAACATACTGCTTAAGATACCTAGATGATTTTCAAGAGATTCACTTTTTTGGTGACAAAACTTATAAGGTTGATTATTGCATACATTGTGTATAGATTAATAACTCTATTCTCATGGGTCCACTGATATTCTTGTACTAACATTTGATTCCTGTTGAGACTAATGGGAGAGCTTGGGTATTTTTCTTGATTAGGGAGGAAATGATCATGAAATCTACGAATCAGAGAGGACAGTGGGACATACAGGTCAGTTGCATGCTTGAACTTCAAAACATTTACAAGAATCATAAATGATCTATTTCAATATCCTTGTAAGACACTTAACTTATTGCGAGTAATCACAATGTTCAACTATACGCCTTGTGCAGTTACGAGTCCAGAAGATACAATGGAGCAATGCAAAGCTCTCTTTCTGTCAAACCACTAATGAGCTTAGAGAAAATTTTCCATCATTCGAGTATCACATTCAATTTGTATTTTGTAGTTTTACACATCAGAGAACAAGTTCTGAGCAGATATTCATGGCAGAGCCTGTAGTTTTGTAGAACTTGTTGATGGGTGTAGAGATCTTAGTTGAGAACTCATATATGGAAGATTTGCATTAGGAGTATTGTGTTATCCTTCTGACCTAATGGAAGCAGTAATTGCAGAAACCACCGCAGAACAATTTTAGATAACCAGGTAACAAGCAACCGACTTGAAGAATCTAGTCTGGTAAAGAATAATAATAAAAATCTTGAAAAATAAGATATTGTAAAAATATACAAAAATAAGATATAGCAAAATTATAGAAAAATCCAGTAAAATGTGACACAAGATCTAGGAAACTAGAAGAATAAAATCCCAATCAGTATGTGCTTCACATCTCATAACAATAAAATCCCATCTTCCAGGACAGTAGGATAAACCCCACTCTTTGAAAAATGTAGAAAAATGTGTAAATACAGAATTTATACTTCACTCGTTTCAGATTTCCGAACCGTAAATGATTATTAAAAACCATCAGGGAGAGCCAAACCCTCAGGAAGAAAAAGAAGGCCCCACTAACTTTAGTTCTATGAATGAATCAGTATACTATTGAGTTCTCACTGCAAATTGTATGCCCTTTTTGCTGCACTGAGAGTATTAGACAGAAGCATTGCTATTGTCATTGGACCAACTCCCCCAGGAACTGGAGTGATAGCTGAAGCAATCTTGCATGCCTCTTCATAACAAATATCTCCAACCAACCGATATCCTCTAGGACTTGTTGCATCCTGTCTCACATGTATAAGCACAACTCATCAGCCAACTTAAAAACAATCTAGAACAGTTACCAATTTTGCTTGACATAACATGACATGACTTACCTCAACCGGATTTATTCCAACATCAATGATAACTGCCCCAGGCTTTATCCAGCTTCCCCTCACCATGTTTGGTTGTCCAACAGCAGATATTATGATATCTGCTTGTCTTGTAATTTCCTCAGGATTCTTGGTTCTGGAATGCACAATACTTACAGTAGCATCTTCCCTCTGCCAGCATTAAGACATATTAGTGTTGAGAATTGAAATATAGAAGTAGCTTTGGGAGAATTATACATAACGCATGGAGAAAAGACCTTACTTGCAGCAATAGAGCAGCAGGCATCCCAACAATATTACTCCGGCCAATCACAACAGCTCTCTTTCCTTTTATCTCTACACCATATCTATGTAACAGTTCTATGCACCCTTTAGGAGTGCATGGAACAAACAGAGGTTCCCTGCCTCGCATAGCAAGACGACCAATATTAAGTGGGTGGAAGCCGTCCACGTCTTTCTCAATGGTAACAGCATTTAAGATGTTCTGCTCTTTCATATGCTGATAAACAAAACCAGGGAGTAGAATTAGTGCCAAGTACATTACCTTGACAAGGCCAATGATGGAAGGAAAAATTGACTCCAGGAAAGGGAAAATGTCTTCTTAAATAAATGGTAAAAAGGAAAGATAAATGAGTAAACAAGAAAAGTAGCTCTTACAAATCATAAAGAACATTTAGAACTAGGAGAGAGGAGCCACAGATCTAAGACTTGGCCATCCCCTTCCCACTGTTTATCTTCAGAAGACAACATTCAGGCTTACAGTTTTCAGTTATTGCATCAATATCCAACTTATAATGACAAAAGCTAATAGTAAAGGATCTAAAAAGAACATGGAAAGTCCAATATCAAATTGCTTGACTAAGTTTTACGTACTAATGTTTCGCACTTCGCTCCATTGGAAAACTGTAAAATTGGCAGCATTACATCAATTTATATATCTGTGACATGAAGAACTACAAATATGAACTCATTCACTTGCAAACACCAGTAAGTGTTGGATTCTCAGATTACACAGCTGGAACATAGTGCAAGCTGCAAGGCCCAGTGAATTTAGAGGACTCTATATCAGAAAATACAGTTTAACATCACCAGTCTTTAAGTATTGATTCTGTTTACTAGCTTCAAGAATAAGCAGACATAACTGAACTAACTTCAAACCGAACAAATGAAGAAGGATTTTCCTAACATCTTGTTTACCATCCAGTATATCAAGCTTCCCATTTTATTATCCTAACATCTAATGATTAGCCAAATAAAAAAATAAATAAAAAATAAAAGGTGAAAAGATTAGAGGCATACAGAAGGCAAAGGCAATTGTACAAGGATGCCGTGAACTGAAGGATCATCATTGAAGCCGGAGATGGCATTGAGCACTTCTTGCTCAGAAGAGTCCTCAGGTAAATGCACTTCAAAAGAATTAATCCCCACGGATTCACAAGCTTTCTTCTTATTGCGCACATAAGTTGCAGAGTCTTTCCTATCCCCAACAAGAATAACAGCTAATCCAGGAACAACACCAATTTCATCCTTCATCCTTGATACCTCAGCAGCTATCTCTTCTCTAATTTGCTTGGCCACCGATTTCCCATCAATCACCTTAGCAGAGGCATCGGTAGCCATTGCAGCTGAACAATTGAGATTTTCACTTAATCACACACGTCATATACTTCAACAAATATGTAAACGGGACGGCAACAATTAAAGTCTAAGATCCGTACCAGTGATGACCGGTGATGGAGAGGATGAAATATGAAGGGAGAGGTCCGGGGAGAGCTGCGTTTGAGAAACCCCACATGCGGAGGCGCAACAAACCGGCCGAGAAAGACGGTGCCTTTTCCTGTGGGGGTAAAGGGGAGCAGGCGAGCTGTCGTTGAGTCAGTGAACATAATAGACGCCATTTT